TTTTTTTTTTTTTTTTTTTTTTTTTTTTTTTTTTTTTTTTTTTTTTTTCCTACCTGATCAGACTTGATTCGGTGATGCACTTGTGTCTATAAATGTTTCTCGTGGATTTCAGACGTGAAGGTTTCTTTTGTAATACAACGAAAAAAAAAAAAAAAAGTTATTTTTGGTGTGGATTTTAACTCGTAAAAATAAAAAAAACTGATTGACGTTGACGACGTTAAAAAAACTCATTTTATTTTCAAGGTGTAAAATTTTTTCTATTTAAATAAGTAATTTGTACTCCTTGCTTGGTTTTCAATTCGATTAATTAATTAATTTTTTTTTCCCTATTAACTTTTACAGGTAGTCGTGGGGCACTACAAGTTGCAGTTCAAAAATCACGAGCAACAAGACTCCCACGAGTTCCTAACGTTCCTCCTCGAATGGATGCACAACGATCTGAAGAAGGTAAATTTCCGTCCGTGTGCCCTTAAATTACTCTGACTGCAGAAAAAATTAATTCTGTGAATGATATTTACTCGACCACAGAAAAGCAAGCTGTCGTACAACAGGCCAATGACGACCATAGAGAGCGAGTGGGAGAAATCCATGAACGGGCAGAGTTCTATGATTTCGAAGCTCTTTTTTGGTTTGCTCAGGTCTACCGTTCAATGCCTTTATTGCGAAAAAAACAGCACCACTTATGAGACATTCAACAGTCTCACCATGTCTTTGCCGGTGTCAAACAAGTGCACTTTGGATGTAAGTACCCGAGATATTTTCATTCGTACGTAATTGCAGATTACCGATTTTCTTTTAACACCATAAAATTTTGAGTTTGTTGATTTCTTGTAATAGCGTACCACCAAATGAACTTTCGCGAAACTTGCGTTAACATAGTTATTGACGAGTAAAATGTGCCATTTGTTTACTTTCAGGAGTGCTTGAGAAAATTCGTTAGCGGCCAGAAAGTCTCAGGTTGGAACTGCCCGAATTGCAAGGTGCCGCGCGAAGGCGAGAAGAAATTCGACATAGCCAAATTGCCGCACATCGTTGTCATTCATCTAAATCGCTTTGGCGACACCGGTGGTTGGTTCGAGAAAAAAAATACTGCTGTCGACTTTCCTCTGCTCAAATTTGATCTTCGGCCGTACCTCGTCTCTGATGAAGATACCATCAACAACGCCCAAAGCTCGTGCTACAATTTGTACGCCATTTCTAATCACTACGGCACCATGGATCGAGGACACTACACAGCCTACTGCAAGAGCAGCGCTCAAAACAAGTAAGCTGAGAATAAAACTTTTTTTATACATCACGTTATTTTTTTGTTTGATATTTATTAAAAAAATTGTGATTTTCATTGCAGATGGTACAAATACGATGACCATGCGGTGAGCGAAGTCCCTCAAAGTCAAGTAAAAAGTCAAAGTAGCAGTGCATACTTGCTGTTTTACACGTCTATATCCAACGGCGTTTCAAGGGAGTGAGCGAAACGTGAGATGGCCGCAGCGAGCGCAGCGGGAAATAAATTTTATGTCGTCGATGCGACAATATCCCGCGAGGAACGTGGGAATAAAGTCTTTATTGACTGGAAACTAAAAAGTAACGATAAAAGTAAGACACATGCGTGGATGCGTTCTCAAAATCAACAGTACCGCGTGGAATTTCGGTAAAAAGTGAGTACTGGTAATTTATTTGTGGAAAAGCAGAAAAGAAAGATTCAGAAGTTTAGCGCGCTTCTGTTGAAGAGCGTACAAAAGATATTAGGAGAACATAATTGTGTCTTGGCCGACGTGAAAACTCGGTCAGATCGATACTTGAAATAAACGGGGCCTTAGTAAAAAGTTATGTAATTCAAAAGCACTGTCGTTACAACTGTCAACGATTTAATTTTTCTAAACTCTCCTAATTAAGAAAGTTAACTATGTCGACACGTCACAAGCATACACGTGGGATCTGTGCGTTATTTTACGAGTGATGTTATTTCTCGTAGAAAACGTTTGATCACTGCATATTTAACAAAGCGGTTAAACTCAAAGTTGCTCGATTTTGTTGAATAACACTAAATGCAGTTACACATAGTTCATATATATATATATATGTACGTGAATATAATTTTTGTTCGATAAAAAAATATTATACTATGAAATAATTTTAAATCGGTATATACGTACATGTACGCACTCGTATGCATATTTTGATGAAAGAAGAGGTAAAGATTATCTGTATTATGAGCGGTTTATAAATTTACGTATTTATATGATTCAGAAGTGGTAGGAATCTACAATTGGTGCTTGTAATAAATTGTAAATATGTAAATAATTACAAACTTTGCCAAGACATATTTTTTGCGTCGCAAGGTTATTAAGGATTATTGTTAATTCTTGTTACAAGTACTGAACAAACGAAAGAAACACGATAACTTGTTGCTTCAAAATTCGCCTATATAGATTCTCTCGTTCAGTATTGCATTTATTTATGTACACTAGACATGCAAAAAGAGTTGTGGCATTGAATTCTAAAGTAAATGTTTTTTTCTCCGTGCGCAATCGTATTCGCGTTTTTTACTACTGTTTGAACAAATTTTATTTACTAGTTGATGAAAATTCGTTTTTATTTTAAAATTCAATGCCCCTGAACTTCGTACATCACCTATTATTATTATTATTATTATTATTATTACCACAAAAGAAAGAAAAAAAATCCTTGTTACAAACAATTATTTAATATTTTATGTTATATGCTAGATGCAATGCTATTTGATAATAAAATTAAAGTATAGTAACCAAATTAAAAGTTTATTCATCTGCCTTTTTCGGAAACTCCTACACAAACTTATTATTCTTGAAAACATATTTTACCTAACAATATAATTGTATAATGTTTGCTTTTTTTCCTCAATTTACTTCTCAGCGTAGTGATCGTCAACCGGTAAAATCGATTGCGATCTACGATACTGCCAACCAACGGCAAGATTAACCGATTTCATTATCACTATCGATGCGATCGGCGCTTTCAATGGCTTTTCAAAACCTCGAATTGCGCATAAAAACGGAAATAATCGTCCGTTAATCAAATTAAAAACTTGAAAGCAAACAAAAAAGCTTTCAAGGATGACAATAAACTCGACCGTTTCATCGTTTCGATATCGGGAAGAGAATGTACAAGCGACCTTTCGAAGGATTCCGGGACAAGCCCCCAACCACACATAATAATAAACTTTCCACTGGTCAATAATATTCCGCTCTGCGCGCACCTCGTGCACATTTATATACGCGCACTCTACACCGATTTAATCGGCAATGTTTCGTATATGCACGCACCTTTCTCAATGCCGAGCACACCCATAACGCGCTCAAAATAATCCCCCATGGCTTTTTGTTTTATTTGACACGAGTTATTTTACAACCAGCCAACGAAGGACAAAGAGTTGCCTAGCCATGCTTTATTTTTTTGGTCCTTTTATACACGCACATCGTGTACAGGTACTCAAGTTCAGTAGAGCGTAAGAAAGGAAATATCGAGTCTGATAAATTTTTCCATATTTAGGTGTATAAAAAATCGGCTAACCGCAGCACGTAAAAACGAGAAAAATCACGCACTATAATCATCGAGTGGTGCACTATTTTTTCTACCCTGTAACGTGTTATTCGAATTATGTAAGGATAATAATTCACTGGAGGAAGAGAGAGATAGAGGGGGAAAAAAAACAACGTACGACTTTTACGTTAATAGGACCCTTTCGCAATGTTTTGGTCGAACGAAATACGCGGGCAGGAGACAGGAGTTCATATAATATGCTAATACAGCCGCTCGTCCGAGACGGCTCGTAACATATGCATATGGTGTATACGCGCGCTAGCGTAATCTGTTCCTTCCGCTACCTAGTTAAAACACATCATTACCGCTACATGCCGATGATGACGACGACTACGGCTTTCACACAATTCGTATTTCTATGTGATTTTGGTCACCTATTTTTAGAAATTACTTGGATGCTCGCCATGGACGCATGTAGCGCAAGATCACATGGAAAACCTGTTGGGATCGGTAAGAGATCGGTAGCCCGGGCATGACCGATCAGATCGGCTGATCCTCGCATCGGTGCACGCAGCTCTGCTCTGATAAGTAACGAACCGATTTTCTTGGTATCTGCACGCACGACACACTTTTCTCAAAATCACCGATCTACGGTCTTGTCGAGTATACAGCGATTTTTTATTGCTAAATCAACGAACAACGAGAATGTTTATAGTATAATTGAAAAACAAAGGAACACTATAAATAATGGATCGATCAATTGTAGAATATTTTTATACTTACGAGCTTCTACCTGCACGTATTATACATTATAATTTTCGATGAATCGGTAATCAAACACAACACACGGTACTTAATGGTACCTTATATACCGTCGACCTGTTAAATACACGACTAATCGTTACTTAAAATCCTGCGTATAAAACTGAGGTAGCCGCGATAGTGTTATTTAAAATCGCTTGTAGCATAGCACGTATCGATATCTGCAGGAACCACACAAAGATTACGCAACTCGTGTTGCAAATCGTCTGGCAGTTTAAGTACCATTATGCTTTTCTTTTCATTCTATTTTTTTTTTTTTTTTTTTTTTTTCTAAAAAATAAAAATAATTTCATCTATATTGGTCACGCGAACTGAGATAAAAAAATAAACGTACAGGTCTTGCGATTAAATACATACCTGTCTATAGATAGACACAAAAATCGACGAAAATAACACGTAACGTATATTAAGGTGTCTCCCGCGGTGGGTTGCCCAAGCGAAAGAAATAATGAATGTGTAGAAAGTGTTTTCTCGATCTGGGAATTTCGAATTCCCATCACGGCCTTTTTTTTAATTCCACTCGTACATATACACGTTCCTTCCAATCGAGAGTGAAAAAAAAAAAAAAAAAAAAAAAAAAATTGGACGATCCGACGAGAGGTATCGGAGTCGCCGAATCTCTTCCGAAATTGCTTTGAGGAAGCGGCGCCTCTGCTTTCTTAAACTAATTGACGTTTTTATGAACTAGGCGTCTGGATGCTGGGAGATTAATATACTTTTGCGCGTTATGTATACGATTTTGCTTTCTCTGCTCTCTGGGATGATTTATTATCTTAAAAGAAGGACGATTTTTTCTTCCTTCACGAGCCAAACTCGAATGTTACTCGACACTTTTTAAAACGCAAAGATGAGCAATTAAAAGACACCGCGATGACTTTCTACCTCATTTTAAATATAATTTACGCATTTTTATACGTGCGAAATGTGCATTGGATTCTCGAAATTTTGTTGTTGTTTTTTTTTTCCTTCCCCTCTCGGCCAACGGTTTGACCTCGTTTAACTGTTTGCCGTTGTTTCTTACCCTTTGGAATATCTTCAATTGAAATTTTCCAAGCCTCGTTAGGTGTTGGAGGAATTTTTTGTCAAATAAAAAAGAAAAAAAGAACGAATCAATTAGCTTGTCAAGCCGCGACACAAAAAAAAAAAGAAGGTGCATGGAAACGGATTAGAGCGCGAAAACCAGTCGAATACACATGGTATCGGCGCACTCGGCCGTGAGTCAGCAGATTCCGGCCCACGGGAAGGAAAAATAAAATAAAGCGTGCCGAGCGAGCACCTCCAGTACGAGCGCTAATAAAACATGTCAACAAAGCCGCGGGAATAGAGATGAGTTTTTTTTCCCCTCTCCGTCGGATCAAACGAGCTAACGAGACAGAAAGAACATGTTATTTGATCGCACAGCCTACCGGTTTATCTATACGGATCCAAACATGATATATTTGTTTTCGTCAACACTCGATGATAACACAGAGAACACCATCCCCGTTGTTTCAAATGCACCGTAGCTTTTTAACCCACAGTTATATACACGCACGCATAAAGTTGCTCCATTTTCGATGGGTTAGCCCGACGATTTACCGATTTTCCGGGACCTTCCGCTAATTAAAAAAAAAAATGGTCCGAGCGCTCGTTCGCTGAACCCGTTCCCCGCGATTACGAAATTTCGCGCTCGCCTACCTGCCGTGCCCAATGCACAAACGATCTCCTGTACAGACACACACGCGCGAATGAAACCAACGGGCGCTCTCGTGTGCATTCCGATTTTCCCGGCTGTTTCATCGATTTCCAATTATCATTGGGCGTGCAAGCGTATAGATAAATAAATCTCCGAAAATTGGGTAAGCTCACTTCGTTACCGATTCCACCCGGGGAGCTCGAATAAATCGGCGCACCATACGCGAGGAGGAAGCGCCGAATGCGACACCCTCTTTTATTTCGTATCCTCGTGTATTACGAAAAGAAAAAGATCGATTACGCGTAAGTGCGTGCGTATACCTACGCACCGAGTTGTCGGGCTGGTCAAGTGGGAGGAAACACGGCGAAAGAAGGGGGGTCGAATGGGACCAGAGGGAGAGAGAGTTTCGGAGCTGGCAGCAGATATGCCGCGCTCGCGATCGGTTGTGGAGCTCGCGATTCGATCGCACGCCTATATTATCCGTCCCTCGTTCTCTTTCGCCTTCAGTAGAGCCGCCGAGGTGCAAATATAATCTGGTTCGAGCGCGAGAACTCCTCCTCAAGGAGGACTTGTTCCCCGCGCGTTCGGCCGATAGAATCTTTTGTTCGCGCTCTGCTTGTACTTGCCGATCTTTTGCCGATTTTCCATTTTTTTTCATTCTTTCGAACTTTGATTTGGTGTGGAGGAAATATTAGTTACGGGATACTCGAAGAGGCGGAAACTCGACGAGGGAGGACCCTTTCTGAACTGAGAGAGGTAAGAGTTTATTTTCGTACGTAAGTATATTTCACTGTGCGTCTCGATCCATGTGGGAGTATGGTTGCACTTGTGAAAGTACCTTTATACATTTACCCTCAAATACGTTGTTTCACGTTATTTGCAACATTTCGGTAGAATTGATTGTTTTAGAAAAAAATACATCCACCTCGTTTGCCGATTAATCCAATAAGAAACGGGTAAAAACCAGTATATCACGAGTTCGAACCAAAATTTGTTACAATATCCCACAAAAGAGCAATACCTCACGTGGGACAATATGATGGCATTCAAGGAGCATTTCACAATTTAGGTGTTGTTAGACGCGCGTGAGAAAACCACCTCCCATACACCGTGTATTCCCCAGCTAATTATGTGTACTCGTAATATCAATGGAGATCGAGAGGAGAGAAGATATCTTTGTACTCCGACACAGAAATCTCCGTCTCATGTGCGTTGCGTTTGAAACTTTATAGCAAAATTGTAGAACCTGATGCATATATTCATGACCATATAATAATACGCACGTGTGCGGTATAGGTACTCGCGCAAACTGTACTTGCACATCCGCCTGCGATTTACGCAACATACGCTCATTTGTAAACAAATTGTTTTATTGCAAAAAAAAAAAAAAAGAAGGAGAATTCCCGTTTTTTTCCAATAAAAATCGTCCTCCGCCAGTCCCGGCTTGTATTTTTTTCCCTCTCGCGAGTACAACGCATGAGCTTTCAGTTAAGCTTATCTTCGTAGAGGCACACTTCCTTACAGTGGAGTGTCATCGTGGAGGCAAATATTACACGGATGAAATGGCACCCACCGAAGGTCGGACGGTGTTGGATTATATATACTGTACCTCATCGGAGTGACTTCGCCAAAACGTCGACGCGGTTAAAAACCTCGGATCAAGTGGCTGTAAACCGCTGACAAGTACAAAAGTGCCGTATACGCGGAGTTGAATTGTTTTGCCGACTAAGGCGTCGATCGAGGGGATCGAAAATATTGTTTTCTGCGTATACATTGCGTATATAACTTTGTCCGAGTACGTCGGAATTTGCGTTTAATCGGGGGGGTAGGCGAGGATTTTGCGGCGAGTCCTCGCTCGCGGAGGACAATAAGACGCGCGTGTATCGATGAGAGGAAGCAAATATTTGCGCGGATCTGTGTACTCTGGGGAGCGATCGTGTGCTTTGTTAATTGCACTTTTGTCTCGAGCGAAAAAAAAAAAAACAATAATAAGAAAAACAAGCTTTTATTCACCTGCCGTGGAGAATCGAAGCGCACGGGTTGATTAATCAGCGGGGATTTGATCGAGTCACAGTTCGAGAAATAATTTAAAAAAAAACTTCTTTATAGCTCGAAATCAAAAGCGCGTGGAAGAAAAGTTAAGGTCGAAAGTTGAGGTGGAAAAGGTGTGCTTTCCAATCACACGCGTGAATTTATTTGCTTCTCCATCAAGTGTGTATATTTATATATACATATGCGAGTGCGATTTTTACATTCGAATCACGAGCCCCGCTGCACACAAGCTTTCTATGCTCTCGATGCATCTTAGGCGCGCCTCTCTTTTTTCGGCACTTTTTGTTTGTACTGCCAAAGTTGCCTCTGGTTGAACATCATGGGTGTACTTTCATATATTTATTCACGTATATTTTTTCAATTTTTAAATTTAACTACGTAACTATAAAACACTGCATAAACAAAATCTTTTCCATCAAAAACAAAATACAGCATTTTTTTAAACGCACACTCGTGTCATCGACAGATAAATATATTCACAAGCTTCTGATTAAAAAACGATGATCCCACAGTGCATATTGAGATACAGTCAAAGTCGCAATAAAAATCGGCAAAAACAACCAAATGTATATATATACATGTATGATGGAAGCCAGAGCATCGATTATTTACGAGAAAGGAGAGGACAGTTACAAGAGAGCAAGTGCCGTGTAAACGTACAGCAAGAGAGTCGCAAAAGGTGCGAGCTTCTAGATTCTGGAAATCCTTGGAGACCCCACTGCTGCGTCTCTGTATACCTGCTTATATTGGCGCGCACACCATGGATCCTCGCCAATACCAATTAGCGCGTCTTTTCCAAAGCCACTCGGACAAACTCTATCTCGTGCACACCACGCGGGATATCCTTTCAAATATATATATATATCTTTTTTTTCTTTTCTCTCCGCACATCGCGCAAGTGTACACCCTTTGTTTCCCCACCGTGAGAAGCAAACACACGTCACACGGTTTCTATATTGCGAAACGAGTACTCGCGGGAAAAAAAAAAACAAAAAAAAAAAAAAAGTACTGCGCCACACATTCACGCACGCCAGCTCTCTTTGATAAAAACTGAGCGTGATTGTTGTTTGCGCAGGAGCCCAACGAAGCCGGAAAAATGACCCTGTTGCCGCCGACGGTCGAGCTGCAGCGGAGGATCGACGAGGAAATGGCCCCCGACCCCGAGGCGAGGAAGCGCGACGTCGCCGCGCTCAGAGAGTGGCTCTCCAAGCAGCCCCACCTGCCAAAACACATGGGTACGATACATTCGTGTGATTGCAAGCTTTGAATTGAAAAAAAAAAAAAAAAAAAAAATCGGTACGACCCGATCCCGACGATTTTCAGACGACAAGAGGCTCGAGCACTTTCTGTTCAGCTGCAAGAACAGCCTGGAGAGGTGCAAGATGAGGCTCGAGATTTACTTCAGCGCGAGAACGGCCCTGCCCGAGTTCTTCAGCGACAGGGACCCCATGGGCCGCGACATACAGGACTGCTGCGACAACGTGTACAACAATTATACACAAAATAAACGTTATTTCAGAGGGATGAGATGTAATTGTATTTTTTTTTTTTCCTTTATTTTGGGACGTATGCAGGGAATACCTCGTGTGCCCGAAAATGACGGACGATGGGCACAGGGTGACGATACTGAGGCTCAAGGAGACGGACATCGACAAGTTCTCGCTGGTGGCCGTGTCCAAGAGGATAACGATGATCCTCGATCTCCGGCTCCTCGAGGAGCCCAACTTGTCCAACGTCATGGTCATCGATTTAAAGGTAACTTGCACGCCCAAATTATCTTGTGTTCATCCTTTTGTACAGTGTTTTTTTTTTTTTTTTTTTTTTTTTTTCCCACCGTCCCGTTAAGGGTTTCACGGCGGCACATTTCGCCAAGTGCGTGCCGGCGCAGCCGAGCGTGAAAAAGGCCATGCTCGCCATTCAGAACGCCATGCCCTTCAGGCTGCACAGCGTGCACTACCTGCACTCCCCGTCGTTCGTCAGCAACGTGATCAACCTGTTCTACCCGCTGTTGAAGAAAAAATTGACCGAAAAGGTAACGGGAAAGTTGAATTTTTTTTTTTTTTTTTTCACCATATGCACCACTGCAGAGATCGGGTCGATTGATTTTTTGGTCCGTAGTTTTTCGTTCATACGGGCGGTGGTGAGGATCTCTCCAAATTCATGAACAGGGACATCCTGCCGAACGAGTACGGCGGCAAGGCCGGCTCGTTCCAGGAGCTCAACGGTACGTAAAATACCGATTTTTCTTCGGTACCCATCCCTAAGTGATGACTATATAGTAAAAGATCGATTTTTTTGACGAGACGATTTTTCACTTGTCCGTAGAGGCGTGGCGTTTGAAGCTCGAAAAACACAGGGACTGGTTCTTGCGCGACGAGAAGATCAGCCGGACGGACGAGTCCAAGAGGTTGCCCAACAGCAAGTGTCTCATCAATGACGAGCTCGCGGGCCTCCAGGGCTCCTTCAGGAAGCTCAACATTGACTAGCTCAACGTTTTTTTGTTTTTTTTTTGTTTTTTTTTTTCGAGTGGCGATGACAGTATATATATATATATATTTTGTATAAATAATCGATCATGTGCGGATAGTTTTATCCTAGATGAGTTATTTTTATTTTATTTTATTTTTTACATTTCTATCGATATAGTTACGTATAGATAATTTTGTACCCGTAAAAATGTACCTCAATTAAGACAGTAAACAACAAGTGTTTTTGTAAATGTATTTTTCCAAAATAATAATTGAAAATTTCTACATTTAAACTCTAATTGCTCTACTTTTGTTATGTGAAAAAATTGTAAATTTATATTCATTTGTAAATAAATACAAAGGAAACAACTTGCATTGCATTTTCAACTTAATAACTATAAGCAAATAACGTATGATTTTCCTTCTCCGGCTGCGCTGTAATTGACATTTACTTTCTTGCCGAGGCCAAACGACATAAGTTGGAAAAATTTTTTTTTCATGCTTTCAATTTACTAGTATGGCTTTTCAGACCACACGCGCGAATAAATTGAAACGTTCACCCTGGTTTCTGAAATAATTTCAAGGTCTGTGTAAATAAAAGGAAAATAGCAGCTCGACGTTGTTCCGTCCTTTGTTTGCAAACTGAAGTAGTGAGTAAATAAAAATATTAAACGACGATGCGTGAATTTCAATTTTTTTTTTTAATATAAAAAATGCACTTTTATACGATGAACATGCACGTTACAAACGAGATTAAAATACCCCATTAGCAAATTTGATTGTTATGTATATGTTTCGCACGACAAACGTTGTTTTTTTTTTTTTTAATCACGCGATCATCGATTCAACGTGACTCATTGAATAGCTTAAGTGGATTGCATTTTCTTTTATCCAATACGATGAAAGTGGTGTGCCAAAGTATATAATAATAATCGATTGCTTTTTATTTCATGAAAATTCACCATCACGTCGAATTGTACTCTTGAAATTGTAAAAATATAACTAAGAACGTAGTTATGTGGCTTAAAATAGACATCAACAATGACTCATCTAGTGAAAACAGTCCAAACACGGAAAAACGCATGTTTTGATGCAGTAAGTAATTCGAAAAATATAGTAACTGAAAAAATAAAATTTTTTATTCATCGTACTGATTAGTATTAATTTTAAAATTATCAGAATTTACCTTTGAATCGATTCGCTCGTCCTCTGTGTTTCCCAGACACTTGTGCAGTACTTTTGCAGTCCTTTCGCTCTGACGGATTCGTGAAAAACATTACAATTACTATTAAAAAAAAAAACTGATAAAAGCACAAAATACGATGGTTTTCTTACTTCACAAATAACCGCAGTGACGTTTTTTGTTAAAATCACCAACGAAATAACAATGATGAGCATACGCAGTGAGCAATGAAAATTTTGAAAAGTCGACAAATGATTTTTCCCCAGTACCAGGGGCTTCATGATCAAATGCGCATAAAACAACAAAGTCAAAACTATGTACGACAAGCAGAGTAGCATGGGCCTGGAGTAAAATTTTGATACTTCCTCTGCAACTTGACACAGGGATAAATACAGATTTTGCAGGCGCGAGTGTTCAACGGGTTTGAATTTTTTTGCGTTGTCGAGGCTATCGTTTATACTTTTCACAATTCGTTTGATTAACTGTAGAACCAAACTGTACTGTATCAACGTGCTCGTAATAATTATGGTGTTTATATACATCAATGCAAAGTAAAATAAATGATGGACGTTCGAAATTTCGGTTATTACGAATGTAGTGAGCCACGATAGCACGTGCACCGAGAGCATTTTTTTAGCGTTTGCCGAAAATTTGTGATTTTGACGTTTGGCTCCGTCGAGGCTGTTCGATACTTCCCAAAGGTTATTTAATTTGTTTGCTATTTTCAAGACGCGATTTTGAAGGCTGGAAAATGTTAGTAATACAAAGGAAGCTGCAACAGTGGCTAGTAATGTGTGAAAGTAATCGATGATTCGGTCAAATTTAAACCTCACGGGTGGCTTAAAGTGATTGAGCGTATTGCGCATGACGTAGCAATAAATTGCTGTGTTTACAAAAACGAGAAGTAAATTGTAAAAGGAACCGAATCTCGAATGGGACAGTGAAACACTTTGTTGCCGATCGTTGCTTGAGTTTTTGTGACAGTGAAAAGTTGCGAGTCCAACCAATTTAAAAAAGTAGTGTACCAATTTGAAAAACAACCCCTCGGTACAAGGTGTTTTTTTAAAAATCATACTAGTATAATTATTCTTTGGGTTCGAAAAATTCACTTCTTAGTACGTATTGCCAGTGGTATTTGATACTTCAAAAGTTTCGTTGGAAATAATTTAACCGCGAATGGTCAATGTCTCTTTGGGTGAATTTAATGTACTTAGCAACAATTAATCTAATGGGTTTGAAAAATAACGGCATTCAAGTAAATGACTTCCTTTCTCAAGTGATTATCTAATTAGGACACACGAGAGTAAAATATTCATAAAATCTACACGATTGTGTTGGAAAATTAAAAAATTTTTTTTCCTTACTTGCGGTGTCGATGACGATTTACCAAAACCAATCCGTCAATTTGATTCGTGAAATTGTAACAATATCACCAAGTACGTCGTTATCGATCCCGCAATCTATAAAAACCAGTCGACGATCACGCATAACATTAATAGATTTTTTTTGTTGATGTTTCAACGCACCGACATCAGTAAGGAGTTGTCGATTGGAAATAATTCAAATACATTGAACTGCACGTCGTGATGCAGTAGATACATCGAAAATTTATTCAGCTAAAATACAAAAAAAAAAAAAAACCGGATAGTTGCATCTTTTGATATTTTTTCTCGAACAATCGCTCACCTTGCTTGCGATGTCTGGGTTTTCCGAATTGAGTAGCCACTTGTTTATAATTTTGCCGGTACGTTTGTTCTTGAACAACGAAAACAAGCACTAGTCTCATTCTTTTAATATGGTTTTTATGATTAATTTAGTTTACCTCGTCAATTAAACCGGTGGTCGATTTGGCCAGTATTATCAACAACATGGCACAATAGGGCAGTTGCATGTGGTTGTAGATGTGTTCGTTGGTTGGCGTGGCGAATTTTCCGTGGATCATGTTGACCCCGCTGAAGTACCCGAACGTGACGATCGTGAGGAACAAATTTGTCACGCAAAACAACAGTGCCACAGAGTAAAAGCTCGCCAAATCCTCCAACAGCTCGTAAAATGTCCCGTGCAAGTGCGTCAGGGGCCCGAGTTTGTTCAGTTTCAGCTGCACCTCGCTCGCGCTGATGCTGCTCGACGTGAAGTGAATCTCGTCCGCGTAAAGGGACGTCTGCGACAGGTGCGCGAGATTGCCGTTCATTATTCGGAGGAATTTTCGCATCATTATCAAGATGACGCTGTACTGTACTATCGTGCAATTGACTACGGCATCGTAGAGGTGCTTCGTGGCGTAGTAGATCAGAAGGGTATTGTCTACTTTTGGAACGAGGATGAGAATCAGGGTCGACCAGAAAGTTACGTTCACGAGACACACTGCCGCGATTTGCCGAGTTATAGATTTGTCCTCTTGGTAAATTCTGTAATTCACACTTTTTATTACTTTCATGAAATCCACTATTTTTTGTGCTATGACGATTATTTCGTTTCGTTGCAAGGAAATCACTATTAAAACTGTGGTTGAACTGATCATGGTGAACGTTATTTGGATGGTATCCAGGATTCTTTCAAACAAATTTCGGGACCACGATTCGTTCTCGTTGAAGGTCGCTTCGAAGGTATAATAATTTAGAGGCAGTATTATTAAAATCAACAGAATGTTGTACATCAGGCCACTTCGGGAGTGTTGGAATACGAATTTTCGTGTTTTGTTGGTTTTGTTTATTCTGATACAATAGTGTATGGGAGCTAGTCCCGCCACTTTGAAATAATAATAAACGAGTTTGGAAAAAAAATTGGCGTTCATGCGTGACTTCATATTTCTTTGAGTTTTCCATAAAATGCTCATTCAACAAGCAGAAAACAACTAACAAGTGACAGCAATTTTTCTTGCAAATGTTATTGAAAACTGCATTCATCACTTTAAAGTAAATTATTTATGGAGGTTTGGAGAAAAATGATCCATCCAGTCGAAATAGTTCATCGTTAATTAAATTAAAAATTTTGCAACGAATGGATGCTTCATTAATCAATTAGAGAAGGGCATCACAGGACGTCGCGACACCGATGATGGCTCTTGCACGAAAAAAGTGAGTTGCATTATTTGACGCTTCATTGGGTTTCAAGTTTAATAAAATAGGGGTGAGACAGTTTCATGTGTTTGAATAAAAAAGATTTATTCAAACGCAAATAATACGTACAAAACATTTGATCGCAAGATAATGTACAATGTCAATGATCATCGTTAATAATATATTAAAACATAATTGTTAAAAAAAATCATCAAATGAAATAACCGAGATCTTTTACTTCTAAGAAGTTTATCACAAAAATTCCATTTCTCGCTCGATGCCCACAAACTTTAGTTGCTCCGTTGGCCCATATCTGTAAAAATACGTAAAGCACAAAGTGACATGTTTTCTGCGGATGCATCAAATTGTTGGAAATAAATAATATACTTATAAATCATACCGATAATCAAAGAACAATTCCTCGCCTGGCTGTATTGCTCGTTTAGCGAAAATTCCAATCCTATGGTCACCATTAACCATCATCACTTTGGCATAACAATTTGGATTTATCGAGTGATTGGCGAATCTAATCTTATTACCTTTCCTCGTGGCGTCAACGACAAAGTCTACAATGATGTTAATGTTAAAAGTATATAAATAAAAAAAATAAAAAAATAAAAAAATAAAAAAAATACAAGCATAACCTCAAAAAGCAATTATTACTCACCGTTGTTAAGATTAAACAGAAAACTGCACATGTATTTGTCATAAACTTTTCCTCTTCTATCGGCTTCATCTTGACTGATGATTTCGCCGCAATATTCGGATATGAATTCATTTTTTATGGCAGACTCTTTTAAGAAAATACCCCAGCCAGCCACGTCAGATGGTGCCATGAGCAAATGCTTGTCTGAGGAAATAATAACATAAAAAATCAGGTATATGGAAAAAAATGATAGCTCAGACGTATATCGAATAGGTACTTACGAAGTCCACGCTGAACGCTGACATTTTTACACGAAATCTTTTGTATGTGATACTGATCCGCTCCGCAGGTCTGACACAAGTCGGGATCGCACTCGCGTACCGCGAGGTAGCAGGGGCACTGTTTTGTGTTGCATTGTGCTTTGCAACGGCAGCCGGGGAAGCGATTTTGACACTCGCTGCTGCACTGGCAGAACTTTTCGCAAAAGTTTTGTGCCTGAATGCAAGGACAAGAGTTGTCGCAGGGCCGATTTGGGTGATCGCATGGCGTAAAGTTGTGGACGTGATTGGCACCCGAATCTTTTTTGAGTTGAATCTTGCGACAATGCATCGACCAGAGCCTGTGTTTCTTCTTCTTCTTCCTGGGTGGAGTAAAGTCCTTGAGGTTCTCGATCTCAGGTATGTCACTAGCTTCTTTAAGAGAAAACTCGTAGACCTTGCGGCAGCTCTTGGTAAGCATTATCTGGGCAAGGGCACATGGATTGCCAGGAAAGACCTTTTGCAGTGCGCGAAACAAGCTTTGCTCGGAGCCTGTCCAGGGAGGCTCGGTTTCAAATTTGATGCGATCCTTGTCATTGCTGCTCAGCAGAGAGAACGGGGTGAGCTGTTGGTCAGGTTGCAGCTGGTCTTGCATTTGCGTTTCTTCATCTGCTTTAGCGTCTTTGTTATTGACGTTTTGTTTAAAGTCTAATGATAGATTTATTTGATTTTTGTATAATGTTACATGTTAATGTGCTCAAATCAAAACCTTCGTACTACTTGATTGATATTAATAACATACCTTGACATCCACCTCCTTGACTGAATTTGTTACTGTCATTGCTGTCTTCGCTGCTCGCCTCGTTGCCTGAATCAACGCTTGTTTGCTTGCGCATCTTTCTTGGCCGTTTTTCTTCATCTTCCTCCTTCATGTCGGCTGCCTGTGCTGCTAGTTTCTCTTTCATGCCCTCCTGTAACGTAGATTACATTTATTATAATTTTCCTGTTTACATGTTATTTCATTGTTTAAAAAAGAGTCTAGTGACTTACCAAATGCATGAAACAATCAGCACCACAAGCTTCGGCAAACGGTTTGAGATCGGGTCCTTTGCGTTTGTTCAAATTCGGCACGGGATGGAGAGCTTGCAAACCTGTGTTGGAAAAAAAGTGATTAAAAACTGATTCACTACCTGATTTTTAATGTCATGCCTAAAATTTACGACAGAGCCAGTAAGAAGACACAGCGATGAGCTTATAAATGAATGATTCAAAAGATGAGAGTCCTGGTTGAGATGTCTTGATGCTAAACATGTAAATATGAAGCTTCCAACAATCTTTTATTTGTTACCTTGCGGTGAAGTTCCTCTGGCGGCTGTGACCGTCAAGAAAGCAGAGTAATTAATGCTGTTAATGAAAATTTTCACAGAATTCCTTGTAAGCATTAAGTTAAGACATATTGATTATGAATAAATAAATATGCCACTTTGTTTTCTATTATAACTCCATCAATAGTGTAATCATACACCAAGGTTTCAACGTACTTGGTATTACAATAATAATAGTATATTAAAGGTTTGTACATAATTTACATGTTAATTTCCTACTTCATTATATATTTGTAAACAAGAATTTACTTACGATGAAGAAAACAGTCGTACTTGAAACACCTACGGCAAAACAGGGTGTGAAACGAGTGCATCGTTTGCTCTCTTGGAACATTTTTGGCATTGGGACCATCAATGTTTGGTGTGCATTCTGGGGGCAGTGCATTGGGATCTGATCTCTCTGTCAGTTCAATGTATTTGTCCTTCAATTCTTCGGCAGTACCTTTGTCAGGAAACATGTTGGATATGGCCTGTAAAAAATACAGAAATAAGTTGAATGTAAACGAAAATTTTTAGAAACCAGTTAAAAAAAGTGAATTACAGTGAATATTTGCATTGAAGGGAAGGGCGTTGCATCGACTTTGGTCTCATCCTCCTTACTATCAGTCTTAATATTTTTCTTATCGTCTTCTTCAATTTTTTCACCATCCTTCTCTTTATCTTTCGAATCCTTTAACTTTTTGGGAGCTTCTTTCTCTTTATCATCCTTTTCATAAGCCGACAAGGCATTCACTAAATCAACGAATATAGAATCATCCATAAATCCAGATTCACGATCACCGTGCACTTTTCCATCGTAGTTTTTAATCAACTCCTCGATGAACGTGCCATCCTGATCAAGAATCTCATCACCCATGTAGGGAATATTGTGCAACACGGTTTCGTCTTCAACCATGAAGTTCTGTTGAATCGGTGCCCAGGTGTACATGGTAGGAATGGGTGTGACTGCGCTGATGATTTTAATGGCACAACTTTGAATTTCACCATCGGAGCTCGTTATCTCTGCCTTTTTCATGCACGATGAGTGTGCTGTAACATCCTGCATCGCTAACCACATCACTTTGCAGTCTGTCCACCTTTTGTGTTCCTCGTCTAACAGTTCTGTCGAAAGGAATTTATTTAAATATTCATATTGAATAAATAAGAGTGAAGACATTTGCGATCACATTCAATGCTAATGTGCGAGTACTTTTTCTCTGCGACCCATAAACTCTTCGAAGTTTGACAAAAAAAAAGGTATCAAAAAGAGTACACAACAAATTTTTTTGCGCCGAAACGTAATGGTAGGTGTTATTATGATCGAAAAAATAACAAAAACAAGTAAAACAACCGACCTGTCATAACCTTACGATTCTGATTCCATGCAATCTTGACCTCATCGGCACGCTTGTAGCGTTTGATCTGCCTCAACCTCATGTACTCGGACTTGACGCGCTTTCGCCATTCAGCGCTTAGTTTCGCCTTCATCTTGGGCGACGATGTTATTCCACCAGGAAGTAGCGACAACAGGAGAACCGAAACTGCTGGACACAAGCACAAAAGAAATATATGCGTACGATCTACAGAGACGCCTTCATCGTCGTCCCGCGTTTAATAAAATCTGTCATCAACGAAGTACGAAGAAAAGCAACAGCAGACAGCAGCTGATTGATCCGATCGTCAGTGCCCCCTGTGAAAGATAAGGTAGGGTTTGAGCGTTACTGGCGGACGGTAAGTGAAATTACGAAAATCACAATGTCATGTCGGTAATTTTAAAACTACAAATTGTTTTTTTTTTAAATGACTCATATTTCAAGAAAAATTTATTCTTTAACTTGTCATGGTGCCTTGTAATAAGTATATATTTACTTTAGACAGGGTAATGTTTACTTACTAATCTTAAGATTGAATGTATATTAGCTTTCAGTGGAGATGACTTGAATTTTACAATATTTCAAAGGGGGATCCTTTCTCCTTAAAATAAAAGAATTTTTTTATCAGAAATATTCTCTCGGGCAAAGTTTCCAGTAATATAAATTATGTGTCGATCTCAGACAGCAAAAATGAGCTTTACGCTCTTAGTTGCATATTACTCAAGGAAAAAAATGAGGGATTGAATAAAGTGAAAGTTTCGCTTGGTTTTGGTCAAATCCAAAATTCGAAATGCTTACAAATTTACAAACCATGAAATTTGTCATAATCATTATGAGATGATGAAAGTTCAGAGAAACTTTGAAAACCCGCAAGTATATATCGTTGGTTGCACTCAAGACAGAAAAAAAAAAATTACAAAAAATATCACTCACATACGCACGAAGGCTACACACATGACATACATATAGAGAAAAAGTATTGGTCAAAGGAATATTACTTTCAGTTTCGTGCCATGAATCAAATCCGATATATACATATATACATGATATTTTTGATCAATAGATGGCTTAGCTTTCGAACTTTTCTCATATAATACGTAGGTATAAGCTCCTCCTTCCCAAGGTCAGAGCTTTAGTACCTTACCCATATCCTCTCCTGAAAAGAAGGCGAGATTATTGGTTTCGAGAGATTCTCACTTTTCCAAGGAGGAATGAGTATACGTATATTTTTTTATACTGAGACTTTTATAGAGATTGAGATACACGTTTTTACCGTACAAGTTATTACCATAATTTTCACATTTTTCAAGATAAAAAAATATATTTTGGTGTATAGCATAAAAGGACGTCGATATTTCATTGTTATTTAAAAAAAAAATTTTTTTTTATCAAAATGTAAGGGTAACATCTATAATACACATAATATACTCCTCATATTGTTTGCTGCTACGGCAAATAAATAAATAAATAAATATTGTACTTGTCTATGTCATTATTACATGAACGACTTATCATTAATACAGAATATTATTTAATGCCTTTGAACGTATAATCGGATTGGTGATAAGGCAGGGCTTACGATCGATCGGTGCATACAGCCAGGGTGTTAACAGAGTAAATGCGATTATATATATACAATATGCATCATGTTTTAATACTCGTGTAGTAATTATACGCTGAAATGAAGAGATTTGCTATTTGATTGTATGTGCACCTAATTTCCAATGTTTGACATTTAATGAGAACTCGTTATTTTCATCAACCGATTTCCTGTAGGTGCATCTTCATAATTACCTCGAGATGTAAGAATGAAAAATTATGCATTGCCTTTAAGGGATATTTAGAAGAAAAAAAAACGATTTGTTACAAAGACAATCTATTCAACAGTTCCTTACGGAGTATGAATTGCATATAAGTATGAATTTCATCATCTACATGCAATGGGTATGAAATACATTGAAACTTTTTATTGCTAGTTATAATTAATTTATCCATTTAATTGTTAACAGAGATATCACATAGGGATGATTATAATTTGTTAGATATACATTTGCCAGGTACATAGTACGTGTAGATGAATTATTCAAAAATTATCGATTGGTTGTAATTGGGTCATTTAATTTTATTGTATTGCACTGGTCTGTGGTTACATTACCGAAATATTAATTAAACTAAATCTACCACCGTAGCAAAATTAATTGTTGATGAATCAATTTTTTCAAATACATTAAAATGAATTATTTTATTGAAAGCTATATTTTTCATCTATTTTACAAAAACGATTTCTCACTCTTTTTCCTTTAATCGACCAGCAGATAATCAAGAAAATTTGTGTCTAAAAAGAGGAGGAGGAGAACCAGCCAGAGCACGTGCACATCGGAAATATTTGTAAAAGTTTGTGTTTTCCGATGAAAAAATTTCATTGTGTAGAATCAATCTGTGTAAGAGACGTGTAAGTAATCCAATGACTTTTTTCATTGTTTTTCTTGTCAGGTGACCATTTATTGTCTTATCTTTGGCTTATAAAAAAACAAAATTTTTTACAAACATTTCCAATAGCTGCCGGACATTTCAAGATATCGCAATACCATTATTGCGCTATAACGGTAAATTAAAAATCGTTTGAAATTACTAACACTGACTAGTCGCGCTATCTTGGTCTGACGTCACAGGTGAAAATGTAGAGAAAATGCAGGTCATGAGATTGTCTCCGTCACTGTCTATATACAGTCAGACTGATTTACGTGTACGATAGGATGACTGTAGTAACGTGCAGTATAGGTACGCATCGTAGTGTTATTCGGTTAACCAGCGAGTGAAAGATACTTAATTTTGTTGACGTATCGCGATTTTCAAGGAAAGAACCGTTGAAAATGGAGTCACAAAAAGAAAATGTCGAGATACGCGGACACGAGTGTGACTATTGCAAAAAATTATTCAACTACAGAAGTCTTCTCTTGAGACACTTGCGAAAACACACCGGCGAGCGTCCCTACACGTGCAACGCGCGTGGCTGTGGAAAAACGTTTGCCGACCAAAGCAATATCACGAAACACAGGCGCAAACACACTGGGGAGCGCATGTACACGTGCAGCGTACGTGGATGCGGAAAATCGTTCAAAGATCAAAGTTACATGAAAAAACACGTGCTCATACATTCCGGCGTGCGTCCCCACAAGTGCGACAAATGCGACAGTGCCTTCGCACAAAGTTGCCATCTCGCGAGGCACAAGCGCATACACACCGGTGATTATCGTTACAAGTGCGAAGAATGCGGCCAAAGTTTCATGTGCAAAGATAACCTTCGCACCCACATCCGCATACACACTGGCGAGCGCCCGTACAAGTGCCAGACGTGTGGGAATCTCTTTGGTCAAAGTGGTCACCTCAAAACCCACATGTTGGTACACACCCATGAGCGTCCGTACAAGTGCGAGGTGCACGGATGCCCAAAATCATTTAAATATCGCAGTTACATCAAAAAACACATGCTCACACATACTGGCGAGCGTCCCTACAAATGTGCTCAATGTGCAAGTACTTTTGTTCAAAGTTGTCACCTCAAGTCGCACATGCGATTACACTGAACCCCAAGTTTGTTATCATGTCATTGGCTTTTGCAGATAATCAACCCATTAATTGACAATCATTTATTCTTGGGGTATATAATATATAATATCCGATCGTCAGTGCCCCCTGTGAAAGATAAGGTAGGGTTTGAGCGTTACTGGCGGACGGTAAGTGAAATTACGAAAATCACAATGTCATGTCGGTAATTTTAAAACTACAAATTGTTTTTTTTTTAAATGACTCATATTTCAAGAAAAATTTATTCTTTAACTTGTCATGGTGNCCTGTACATGGGTGTCTGAATGTCTTAAGACTGTAAGCCAAACCTGTGGCGGGTGATTCAATTCGAACTGACTTTAACTGAATATTGATATAAATTGTTTTAAACAAGATAATAGGCGTCCTGTTCGTAACAAAACTATGTTACGTGATTGCATTATAATATTGGAAAGATATTTAGCCACCAAAACTTAAAAAAATTTTGCTAACGCTGAGTCGTTAAATAGAGAGGTTATGTTGACAAAATTATTGTATTAACATGAATTGTAGAAATTTTTCATTGGATGCCTTAAAGACGTTCTAACCTTATAATGTAATCACGTAACATAGTTTTATCATGAATAAAGTGTCTATTTCCTTGTTTAAATCATTTTATATCGGTATTCAGTTAACAACAGTTTGAATTAAATCAACCGCCATAGGTGTGGCTTACAGGCTTAAGACTGTACCCTTAGGGTGCCTGTACATGGGAAACCTGCAGTCTGGAGAATGCCAGTCAAAGCTTCGGCGGGCGATTCAATTCAAATTGATAGAGATCAATATTTTTTTTTTCTTGCATTCCGTACAGCAGACACCTTGTTTTCAATGAAACTAGACTCTGAAGTCGCATTTTAATATCAGAAATTGATTTTGGTAAAAAATTTCGAGTAAGTATAAAAAATGACTATAGTTTTTGCTGGCAGCCTGTTACTGCAATTTCCCTGTTTACCGACTAGTCGTTTGTTATACTGACTCCAAATTTTTTAAAACTTTTTACTAAAACCAGTTTCTAAAATCAAAATACGACTTCAGAGTCTAGTTTCATTAAAAAAAAGGTGTCTGTTGTACGGAATGCAAGAAAAAAAAAAATATTGATCTATATCAATTTGAATTAAATCGCCCGCCGAAGCTTTGACTGGCATTCTCCAGACTGCAGGTTTCCCATGTATACAGGCGGCCTAAGGCTACGTATACATGGAGTCTTGAACTTCCAGGACCAGCCCATAAGCCCGTGTGAGTGCGAGTGAGAAGCAAGAACATATTACTCTCTTTCTCGCACTCACAAGGGCACATGGGCTGGTCCTGGATATTCAAGACTCTAAGCATGTATACGCAGCCTAAACATGGCTGGGTGACGGTCAATGTCATTTGAATTTGAACGTCCCGCTCAAAAGGCTATATTATTATGTAATTTTATAAATTTAATTGTACACGAAAAAGTGTAAGGTGTTATTGTAAGTACTTCGTTTATACATTAATAATTTAATTTCGATAACACATGTTTGCACAATATAATATTCTAAATGATGAAGATGTATTTTTTGCGTAATTAATACAACTGTTGTATAGTACAATACTTTTTGTTATTGTTAAAAAAGTATTGTACACTTTTTTT